CGGCACCGCCGGGCGACGGAAGGAGCTGGGGCAGAAGCAGCACTGCCGGGGCCGGTGCAAGCCTTCCTTCTAGCCCGCGGTGGTCCGGGCTGGAAGACTATTGCACACGGAGCAGGCCGCGCTTGATCGTCCTGTCTGTTCTGCTGTAGAAATGGTGTACACAGTTACTGAATTTTAAGAAAAATCCTGCAATAGCTTGAATGACCCAAATGGAGTAACTTCTGCAGACGGGCCTTGCTGCACCCTCAGCAGATTCCTACTTTGTGCTGCACAGCTCAGGATTCCCAGCGTCTGAAGGGACATCACCTGTACTATAATTTTTTTTTCTCTTAGCTCTAATAAATAGCAATTTAAAATTATACTTAAAGAAGCCTGCTGTGGTGGCAAACGGTGGTTTGTGGTTCTGCTGGTGCAAAACGTATACCCACCCTGCCATAAGAGCTAGGGGGTGTAGGCAGGAAAGAGAGCACCCTGGTCTGCATGAAGGATGTGGGAGTTGGATGAGTGTGACAAAGGGCAGTGCTCACTGACATTTTTACAAAAAAACCCCAACACCCATAAGTGATAACAAGCCATTTAGGAACAGAAATCCTAGAACATCCTCTAGGTCATCCACATCCTGATGCTTCAAGGTTTAATTCTAAAGTTGTTGGTTTTTAATTTAAAGAGGAGAAAAGGAGTAGTACTTCCCCTTCCTGCTTGCTTCTGGTCACACATAGAGACACGTACTTCCCACAGTAAAGGCACACCCGTACTCCAGACAGTGACTGGGCTGGACTGGGAAGTTCGCTGTATTTCCTGCAGGCCAACCACCCCTTTCACCTAAGGTCACCAAACATCTGTAGCCTCAGTGTGGGAATCCAAGTAGTGTTACTGTCAAATGACTAACACAAACTGTGACCTCCTGCTAGGTGAATTATTTGTCTGTGATACTTGAGCATAATGCTGTTTCTGAGATATCAAAGAACTTCATAGCTGTTGAGACTGTCTCATGAAAAATAATAATATTTAAAAAAACCTAAAACACCCACAAGAAAAGTCAGAATCATAATGAAGAATTTAGCTTACGTTTCTGCTACTACAGGTCAAGCATTTGTTTTTTTGATACTTTCTGTCTAGAACTTAAAGAAATGTTTCCTGTTTGCTTTGTAGTGGTACATCCCTTGCAAAAAGGCCTTACTTAGATCTGACACAAGCAATAAACAAAGCAATAAACTTACAGCTGGAGGGGAATTAGAGAACGATTTTCTGAATTTCTTTGGGTGAGAGTGAGACAATCTGAGAGAGAAGTTGAAGTTGATACCTGTGGAATAGAGGTTATAATAGGAGAGTAAGAGGAGTGCTAGGTTATCATCTCTTGGTGGCAGGGAAAATAGAGAAACAGGTAATTTCTAACATGGAAAAGAGAGGTGGAGGGAAATTGTAATATGTCCCAAAAAAGTCCCAGATCATCTGGAATCTACTAGCAGCGCCTGTGCTCTTAAGCCCGTTTGCTATTCTGTCACCATCGTGACAAGTGCTGTCTGAGGCCTTTCCTGATGGCCTTATTCCTGCT